TGGCAGGATCATAGAGAGCTTCTGCCCTTTCAAGTGATCAAAGCAACAGCTAGAAAAGCCTACAGAGGTGGTGATTTCAGAGAGCAGAACAAGAAAACCAACAAGAATTGATTCTTGGGTAAATGGACTAAGCTGACAGACGAGTAGTATGGTTGAAATTTGAAAATCATTTTATTTGAACTTACATTTGAAAATCATTTTATTTTGCCTCATTTGTTGGTTGAATTATTCTTCATGAGACTCTTTTAAGGTAACCTGGTATCTGGATCTAAAAGAGTATCTCTGGAGAATGATCAAGAAAAACAAAGTTTTGCTTACTTACACAAGGTCCTACAGCAAGTTACTATCAAGGTAGTAACAACAGTAAGACAGCTGTGTACCATCTCATTCTGCTCATTTGAGACCCAAACACTTCTAAACAATAGCAACCTATTTCAACCAACCAGGATTTATTAAGATAACACATGTAATTCTCACAATACTGCACAGGAAGTACAATGATCCCTACTTTACAGATATTGAATAAAGAGAGATTCAGTGTCTTGCCTAAAGTAACTGAGCCAAGATTCCAGCCCAAAGCTGTTAGATTCCAAAGCATACATGCCACGTGTAAAGCACATGCATTAAAACCAAATCTGAAGTGTGTTTTAGCCATTCTCAGTCCACTGTAAGTCCATTTGGAAAAAAGTCAAATCGGAGAATTTTGAATACATGAAAATTAGCTGAGATTTAATTCACTGATCCAAACCTGGGTGATCAATATTAAGATGTAAGTGCCAAAATCAGTACTTTAAATTTTGGGAAAAATCTAACAGCATTCTCTTCATTATGAATTATGAATTAAGACCACTACACTCAGCATCCTAATTCTAAAGCTACTCTTTCACCTGTATTCTCTTTCTCTAATCAATCTAATTAACATAGTAGGTTATTATTTGACTACTAAATATTACAAATAGAAAGCCATGTTTATGACAAATTTTATAAATGTAATGTAAGTACATCTTGTCAAATATATACATGCAAATTAGCAAATAAACTGGTGACTTTAAACTGTGGATGCCTTAGCAAAATTCATCCATGTTTTTTGCTTTTTTTATTTCTGTTAATAACCTTCCATGCTAAAGCAATTCCTCCTCTGGGTATTTATGCTGATGAAACAGTGGTATGTTACCCCATGCCAGCCTTGCCCTAAGTAACCTGAAGCCTGCAGATAGACTTTAATAAAATGAAAGTATGTTTCTCCTCCAAAGATTGGATTTTAAATTAAGTTATACCCAAAGCCCTAATTTTAAGAATATAAAATTCGATGCCTTCATTAAAAATGAAACAACAGCTGACGATGTTTTGAAGCCAACTGATCAGTCTTAAAAAGTACTTGGAATAAAACTAAATCTGTAATGACTACAGATACACATGGGTCACTGCTAAGGTAGCCCCAGCTTGGGAACACTGGGACGTCAGGAAAAAACACTAGTGAGCTTAAAGGGAAGTATTTATTGGGTAGTTTCCACTGCATGTCCTGGATTACTGGAACATGATACAGTCCGGCTCCAGTGTAACCACCTTTGTTTACAATACCTGAGGCAATTTGAAACTCCATGATTTCAACAATGGCATCAACTGACTAAAAAGTTTTGAGTAATGTAATCACAGTGATTTATCACTTCTCACAAATGCATTTCTAGCTCATAAACAGGCTACCCATGACCCATTTTATCTCACACATAACTGAAATAATGAAGATACAGTTTGGTAATGCTCTGTATTAAAAATTAGAAAGTAAGTTTTTAGTCTTGAAATAAATTGTACAGCCATCATCTCATTTAACCCTAAACCACTTTGTTGTATTAATTTACAATCATTGGCATTCTACTTATTCCTGTGGTTGGTAAGCCTTACTCATTGGTCTTACCCTTCTCTTTTTTGTGTGTTTTGTTGTTGTTGTTATTGTTGTTGTTGTTGTTGTCTTTCTTTGCTGGAGTACAGTGGCATGATCATAGCTCACTGCTGCCTCAATCTCCCAGGCTCAAGTGAGCCTCCTGTCTCAGCCTCACGAATAGCTGGGACTACAAGTGTCTGCCACTATGCCCACCTAATTTCCTTGTATTTTTGTAGAGATGGGGTCTTGTTATGCTGTCCAGGCTGGTCTTGAACTTCTGAATGCAAGCAATCTTCCCACCTCAGCCTCCCAAAGTGCTGGGATTACAAGTGTGAGGCACCACACCTGGCCTGGTCTTAGCCTTGTCTTCAGTAATCTTTCTTTTATTACTGCTTATTCATGTACACCCTCTGATGCATCTTTTTGGCTAACATTTCTATGCTTTCCTTCTTTGGTAGCTCACCCACTTCTAGAGTTATGTTTACACTCTGATTGTTTATTATCCTGATCTATATTTTGGACTATACACTTTTACCTTGACCATTTCTATCTTATTAAAATCCAGATTTCACTTCTAAGATGACCTTTTTTCTATGTTCCCCTAATGTAATTGCTTTGTATTTTTACACATGAACTGCTTTGCCTTAGTTTAGTTCTCTGTTAAAAACTTCTCTCTTTAAGAGTTACCAATAACATCAGTCTCATTCGAATCTTTGCTTCTAAAGTCTTAGCAATATACTTTCTTATACCCAAACTTTTCATTTTCTGTAAGCTTCTACTTTCTGATTACTAGCTTGCCTCTTTTCTTTCCCATCTTTACGCTGGTTTTTAGCTGCTTAAGTTGTCCCGTTACATCCTGTTCTCCTTTAACCTTTCCACTTAAAAATTCTGATTTTTGAGAAATTTACCTAAATTGTATTTCCCTTTTCTTATATTTTCTAATTTATTTTTTCACTGTACCATTGAGGAAACTGAAATTAAGTATAATTACTAATCTTGTCAACTAAAAAGTTTAGAACAAACATATGCAAAAATGTAAAATAAAAGAAAAAAACAAACGTTGATTCCGTTTATCTAGTTTTAGCCTTATAATCCAATGACCTTGCATCAAACTGAATCTTCTCTATGTATCATCAGTAGCACCTTTCAAAGTCCATGAAGTCAAAAAGTTTTATTAGGAGAAAAAAGAAATAACGTATATGTATAATCAATGGACATGTTAAAATTACACACTGCCCAAGAGTTTTCCCTCATAAAAGTAAACAACTCTTCCTTAAAAGGGAATTACAGGCTGGGTGCGGTAGGTCACTCACGCCTATAATCCCAGCACTTTGGGAGGCTGAATCTAGCCAACATGGCTAACCTCCATCTCTACTAAAAATACAAAAATTAGCTGGGTGTGCTGGTGTGCGCCTGTAGTCCCAGCTACTCGAGAGGCTGAGGCATGAGAATTGCTTGAACCCAGGAGACAGGGGCTGCAGTGAGCCAAGATCGTACCACTGCACTCCAGCCTGGGCCACAGAGCAAGACTCTGTCTCAAAATAAATAAATAAATAAAGGTAATTATACATGTGTATAGCATACAAGTGGGTTTGCTCCCAAGTTAATGATTTGTTAGGGGCTTTATGCGGCTAATAATTAAACCTTGAGAACTCTGGCTTCTTTTTTCAAAGTGAGTCTTAGGCTATAAAACTGAACGTTCCGTAGGAATAAATGAAGAAAGCTAATACAGTCTTGGAGTTGAGATGAATCATCCTAACAGACTCTGCTTGAATGGTAAAGACAGGCAAAGGAAGACCCTGTATCAAACAATTGTACTGCACAGCAAAGTGATGAGAGTAGATACTGGGGAAAGGGGGAAAACGTAAAAATAAAACCAGAAGAGGCCTTTAGGAACCAATGATGACACAGGTCAAGATCTGTGAGATACAATTAACTCAACTCTCTGCACCTGAGGGCAAAACAAAACCACATAATGGGAACTTAAAGAAGGCAACATATTATGTCTTCCCCTAAATACCAGAGAAAACAACTGACCATCAAAATACTTCCGACATACAATCAAAAAGCAACACAATAATTAGTCTTTGGGATCAAAGCAAAACAGAAGACTTAAAACACCCACAGTAAACAAAAACTTTAAGTTGGAGAAACTTATGGTGCACAAGAGAAGAAACACCTGTGTAACAGTCTTCTACCATACTCTCTTATTACTAGAGATTTTCATGCAGATAATAAATAATCAAATCAATGATGTCCCAGGAAGACATCATTCAGTGGGTTTTGTCCTTGATTATTTCCCAGGTCTCTTTTCTCCGAAAAAGGAAATTATTTAACTTTATACAGACGTCTAGAATAAAAAGAAATATTGTACCCTCTCTTTAGAACCAAAGTTTAATTTTCCATTTGTTCTTTGGTAATATTACCCTTTAAAATGGTCCTCTCCACTAGCTATTCAACATGGAGGTGAAAGCTTTAAATCTTAAAAACCAGTATTAGTTTACACTAACTGGCTAAAATAAATTAGAGTATGCTTATTATGAATGAAGGATAGGGCTGAATATTCCAATGTCATTTTATTCTCACTATAAAAAGATACCTGTGTTTTCCTTACCAGTGATAGGATATATAAGAGTTATAAGTCAAAAATGGAAAGCATGAGAGTCATGCACAGAGATCACCTTGAAATGATGCAAATTATATTAGCTTCTAAACAATTTTACACTGAATTGAGTTTGGTACATCATGGGTTTTTTTGTTTGTTTGAGATAAGTCTTGCTCTGTCGTCCAGGCTGGTACATCATGTTTTAAATACTTGTTCTTCTTAAGACTACAGATTCAAATGCCAGCATATATAATTTACATTTGCCTACAAAGACTGGTAAGCTATCGAACGCCACACAGCTTAGTGTAAGAGGTTGAGATCCATTCTACAAAAAGTGATACTTATTTTTAAAGTAAAAACATAAGGCTTTTAATCAAACAAATTTATACTTAGTTGTTCTCTAAGCCATCTTGATATTCCACGCACAGTCATATCTAGAGAGACAACTGCTAAACAGGAAGAGCCCTGAAATGTTCACCCCACTAAATGCCTGGTTTTCTTTTCTCCCTTTACCTGATAATGAGCCTGGGCTTGCTGTGCAGAGTTCAAGGTGACATTGCAGAGTTTGCAGTACAGGGGCTTACATAGCTCCTCCAGGGCACAGTCTTGCTCCCCTTCCTTTGATAACTCTTCTTCCCCTGCAAGAGGCAAGGAAGCCTCCTGCCCAAAAAGCTTCTGTGGTGGAAGCTGCAAGGTTCCTGTAGACCTGGTGGCCAATGACATAGGAGGCGAGAGTGAGGGCTGCTTAGGTGGAGGAAGCACGGTGTGTTGCAAGAGGATCATTGGGTAGGAAAGCCTTGGGCATAATCCAGTGGGTGATGAGAAGCAAGGTCTTCAAATCTGAATCAACAGCAAAAAAAAAAAAAAAAAAAAAGAACAGAAACAAAAAATTCACTTAAAAATGAGACTTCACAAGATAACATGTAAATGACAACATAATCTGACCCTTTCTTCTACTTCTCCAAACCTATCCTTGGGACTTCTTTCCTTTGGCCTCATTTAGCAGACTTCCCCTGCCTGTTAATTCATGTTAACGTGGTGCTCTTCCACTGAGAATGGCTTTATAGATTTGGCTTTATTTTGCTTGGCACTGTTCCAACTGCTATCCCTCTGGTCCATGAACATTAATAGCATTGCATCCAAGGCTAATTAAATTCAAAAGTCACATGGCTGAAATGGACATCAAAGGTCACCTAGTCCAGACCCCTTCCCTCAGGCACACTAACACTTAAACACTCTTAATGATAATCATGCACAGACAAAAACACCATGAGCTGTCCAGCATGGTGGCTCACGCCTGTAATCCCAGCATTTTGGGAGGCCAAGGTGGGTGGATCACCTGAGGTCAGGAGTTCGAGACCAGCCTGTTCGAGACAATGTGGTGAAACCCTGTCTCTACTAAAAACACAAACATTAGCTGGGTGTGGTGGCAGGTGCCTGTAATCCCAGCTACTCCGGAGACTGAGGCAGGAGAATCGCTTGAATAGGGGAGGCAGAGGTTGTAGTGAGCTGAGATTATGCCACTGCACTCCAACCTGGGTGACAGAGCAAGACTGTGTCTCAAAAAAAAAAAAAAAAAAAACCACTAGCTAAAAATCTTAGCAAATATCTCTTCCAACCAACCAATATCAAGAAGAGTGAATAAAAAAAAAAAATCACCTTGCAGAAATTTCAAGGAACTCTAGGAATAGCCTAGAGTTAAAGTATGACAGAAATAAATAAAATATGCTCCTTCTGATCAACTAGCAATATTTAAGTAGTTGAGCCAATGTATAGCAGAGGTGGCAAGCAGCCCGTGGGCCACATACAGCCACAGATGTGCTGTTTGGAATATACAGTTTTGTTTTTATTTTTTAAGTTGAATGAGTTGTTAACATTCAAAAATCAAGAGATTCGTGGCTTCTCTTGAAAAAGGATGATCTGGCATCACTTGGCCCACATTCCTATATGGGACGCAATTAACTAGTTAGTGCTCAGAGGCACAGTGCCCTCTAGCCAGGCCCACCATCTCTGGGATACCTCAGTCCCCACTCAGTTGCTGCCTGTTCTTGATACTTGCCTGTTCACTGTGAGCTCTTGAGTTTACCTCATACAGCCTTAGATTATATTCATCAGTCCCCTGTAAAATTCAAATTTTTCCTCCTTCTCTAGGTAAATTACCTACACAAAATAAGGTATCAAGGAAATGTCCAGTGGAATAATGGATCACACCACCAAAAGTCACAGTATAATTCCAGTTCCTCAGTCTTGAGGCTATTTTCCTCCCCCTTCTTAATAAATAACTGATAGTCTCTATTATAATTCCCTCAGAAAAGACCCAAAATGTTCCTCCCCCTCTTCAATCTTTATCCATTTCTCCTGCCTCCCCCTACAGATGGCATCGTCTAACCTGAGTGTCCCAAAATGAACCACAGTACACCCTTTGGGTTCCCAAGATTCTAATTAACCCAAATTAGAATCCTTATTTCAAAATCCACAATTCCCTACACTCTCTCAAAACAGTATTAAAACCTCTTCTCTTGGTCAATAGAATATGGCTATTTTAAGCTGCTGAAAATTTCCATCTGCAATGGAAATGTGTACATTATGGCAATAATAGAATTACTAAAATGTATCAAGTAAATTTTGAAAAGTTAAAGTCCGTATTACCACATTTGATAACTACACAGCACCTGAAAATCAAGTAACAACTTTCATATGAAATTTGGGGTGGGGAGGCAACAAAGGAAATCAGCGTGATGGGAAAATAATGTAGTTAAGGGTAAAATGTGTAAGTATTAGTCATAGAATTTAACAATACTTCTCATTAATCACAAAATTTAGAAAAATGATATTATTTCATTTTTAAGCAGAAGTGTACTGCCCATATCTTTGGGAACATAAAGAAAAGCAATATAGAGTTTGAACATTTAAAAAGTCAGGTTCTCTGTGATGGTATTATTTCTCTTAATCGAATCAAGTAAAGATATCCATAAAGCAAAAACAGATATGGTCATTTTAGAAAAGGGAACTAAGTAGACAAAGAACAGCCTTTTAAAAAGTTTAACTACCTAATTATAATAATTCATAATGTTAAGCTACTGACGTCAACTTGCCACAAACATGCTGCTAGTTCATTAGTGAAAAGGTGAATGGGGGTGTGAAAACATCTGGATAAAGGAAACCAATATAAACAGAAAATCAAATGCTACCAATTGCCTAGGCATGTCTGGACTTGTTTTATGAAAGCTCACTTTCACTTGAGGAAATTCTAGCATGTGTCTCCCCCAGTGTTATCTATAAGTTTCCCTCAAAATAAAGGTCCTTCTCAAAGCACAGAGGTACAAAAGGCCTCCTACCAGAGGGGATAAAGTTACCTGATTTAAAGAAAAAATTCTTGCCAAACACAGATTTACCCATTATCGCTTTGATCTTATAATTTTTAAAGAGTAGCTTGATATCCCAAATTTATTTCTTGTTATATTTAACAATCAACACAATGTCGACTCCTCAAAAAAATCTATGTATGACAACTGCATCAAATATTAGTACATTTGCAAACAAAAATTAGCATAATATAAATCTTAAAATGAATAAAACCAAGTCTTCAGTGAATGCATGAATGATGGAATCCATAGACCCAAAACATGCAACTCAGATCTGTTCAACTGTTGCATTGGTTTAAAAGGGACTAATTTGAAGACTGGCATAAATATTCTTCAGATCTTAAAAACCACTCACTCTGATGCTTGCAATGGCATAAATGAAGGATTCATGCTGGTTAATGTCCTGGTTTGGAAAGGACCTAAGACGACATTAAAGAAAATCAAAGCTTCGCAATGTACCCTGTTTAAAGAAAATTAATTATCAGAGCATACTTAGTTTTCATCACTGGACTGGGGCCTACTCTTCATATACTGTGTTAAAGACAATCTCTTTCTCATTTGGAGAAATCTACAGAGGAAAGAGAATAGAATAAAGGAACAGGTTAGCAGCAGGTTACCCGCAAACTAGGTAAGTCTGTAATTGGGAATTCTGGAAATGCGGGAAAGGCGGCGAGCATTACTCAGAGGTCATTAGAACGCAGCAAGAAGGAATGAGACGGAGAAAAGTTAAAAAAAAAAAAAATCACTTGAGGCAAGGTATATCCTATAAGGAAGGCTCGAAAGAACGCAGAAAACTGTGGAAGAGGCCTTGGCGAACTGGCGAATGTTTTTCAGTCTCCGCTGTGACGGTTCCTAATCCTAGGGAACTGTTTACAGATTTGAATCAAAGCTACAGACACTTCAGCGTCGCCTACATCCACCTTACATTCCTAAGATGTGCATGCATACACACGAACCCACACACGCACCTCAACCCGGTAAGGATGCCATCACGAAGGATGGAATCCCCAGACTCCCACCGGGCGGGGGCAACTGAGAGGGCCAAGGCAGCGGCACCCACAGATGATCCACCTGGTCCACGTGAAATGCCTGAAACGAGCTAACTAAACTGATAAATAGAAGCAGCGCAAGCCCTGTCACGTGGAAGGCAGATGGAAAGAGCATCGGAAAGGAACCGCTAGTCCCCGGCGCTCCGGGGCTTGTCCTGAAAGCCCCGCGGCTCCCAATCGCCTGCACTTACCGGAACCCCCGGGACGCGCCGGCAGTCTCGGCGCCGCGTCCGCCCGGGACGCCCGCGACGCCCGCCCTGCGCGCCCGGCTCGGCCCAGCTCGACCCAGCCTCTCCTCGAAGCAACTTTCTCCGCCGGCCGCCGCCGAGCCCCCTCCGCAGCCGAAGGCTGACTGTCAAAAGTCAGTCCAACCCGACCCACAGGGAAACAGCTGCAGGAAGTGACTGCGGAACCGGGAGGCGGTGGAGGAGGAGACTGAGGGCGCCGGCTCGGTGTCGCCACTGCGCATGTGCCTGGCGGAGCAGGCCAGGCAGCGGTAGCAGCGGCAGCCGCGGCGGCTCCAGCATCCCAGGCGGGCGGCGCGTGGGTCAGGTGCTGTGGCCGCCAGCGCAGGGGCGCGGGGTTGGGCCGGCGTGGGGAACAAAGGCACGAGTGAGAGGCGGGAGGCTCCCACCGCCAATCTCAGCAGACAGCCCCGAAGAGCTGTTCAGCAGATGCCCTGGAAAGTTAATCCTTGGTAGAAGCCTGGGCAGAGCTTTTGCAACTTTCATCTCCCGTCATTGGGATCCAAACATTGTTCATTCTATTCCTCCCTTCGTCTCCTGGTTGGCGGTTGAGGCGGCTGAGTGGATCCTTTAAACTGCTGCTCTCCCCACTTCCGCCCCAGGATGGAGGAAGAAGAGCGTGGCTGCCTGCCCAGTAGTGGCCGCCTCCCTCACACAAAATGCCGTTTCCCGCCCCCCCTCCGCCGCACACACCTTCCCTCTTCCTACACGAAAGTGAGCAGGAGATAGAGGAGACTTTCTCCTGACCCCCAGAGGCTCACCTACAAGACAGGAAGGACCAGGAAAACAGTGGCCAACGCTAGGATGTCGCATCCTTCATAACCAACCTGGACATCTTCAGGTTTAACATTGAGTGATGAGCTGAGGAAATCCCAGCTCTAAACTTGCAGCGTAAATTAACCCTTATGAAGATCTGCTGGGGTATTATTTTTGTGTGTGGCAAACGATAACAAATTTACTACTTTAAGAGTACAGGGCTGACACAGTGGCTCACGCCTGTAATCCCGACACTTTGGGAGGCCGAGGCGGGCAGATCACGAGGTCAGGAGATCAAGACCACCCTGGCTAACACGGTGAAACCCCGTCTCTACTAAAAATACAAAAAATTAGCCGGGCGTGGTGGCGGGCGCCTA